CTCTGGGAAAATATGATAAGAACAATATCTACAAGGATTTGTCATATTTTAAATCAATACAATTAGTAAAATGTATTTTGTGCAGAAATTAAAACTATTAGTATATACTTTTCTCATCTCTAGCAACCAAAAGAGCCCTCATTAGCTATAGCTGCCTCCTCAATGCTGTATCCTGGAGATTAACATAAAAAATATCTTTAAAAGTGCTTTGCAGGTATCACCTTATCTCATGGAACCTAGAGGGGCACAATATAAGAAAAGGCTACTCCAATCTAATGAACTAGAATTCTGAATAACACCAATGTAAGAAGTTTGGGGAAAGGGTATAGTACACATTAATTTAAAATAAGATACACATTTCATTTTTCATGCAAAATGACTTATGAACACAATGTAATGTACATTGCTGAAAATACAGTCAAGCTTTTCTCTAGAATTTACAGTTATTTTATGGTCAGTTTTATAAACATGGAACAATATACGAGAAATGTATTGATTTTATCAAATATTTTGGTTAAGCACTATATAAACAAAGGAAATGAAATGACTGTACACTAAATGTTTTGACACTCAAAACTGCTAACCACTAACCGAGAATGAAGAGGCTCTTACATAAGCAACAAACCCTTATTTTGAGGTCTTCAAATATAAACATTATAATTTTTTTTGTTAAAACTGTTTAAAAAACAGGAAGAGTTCAGTTTTCTAGTTGCTGCATTAACGAATGACAAGGTCATGAAAAACTGTTATTAGAAAAGATAAAAAATAATTTTGCTGATGCTCTTTTATTCTATGCTTGATGAGGGTTAGTTGGATATCTTTAAATTTAAACCTTTTTATTCAAATAAAGCATAAACTGTGACTTAAAAACCCTCAGGTCTGTGTCATCAGTAAGACAAGCACATACAATACCATATAAAACATATAATTTATTAGATGGACTTAAAAATCAACACAAATCAATTTTAGGCACTTCTTGGATACAGACTATGGGAATTTTCTACCAAAGAATGGCATTATCTAACATACAATACCATAAAGATTTAAACTTTAGCTTTCAGAACAACATGTAAAGGAGGAAAGGCTACAAAATCAATAAGAAATATTGTATAACTAACCCAACTGTATCCTATTAATTTCTTCAAAATTTCATATCATTTTAAGGTTAAAGAGAAGCAGACACTTTTTAGCAAAGTGTTCTATTCTAGCTTGCGTTCCTTGACTCCATATCATGATCTTAAAATAATCTTTAATACATTCTTTTGTGTAAGTGGAGCTTCAAAGTTTAAAGGCCTTTTTCGTTTTTATACCTGCATTTACACAGCCAATACATAGTGGTTGATTATTCTAATGTCTTTTAAAGTCCATCCCAATAGGCAAATTATTTTGTAAAACTGTTTCTTATTACAAATTCCTTTAGAAATCTAATATTGATCTTTGTTCTTTAAGTAAACATGAGGGGGGAAAATGGAATGTGGGCAATGGTTTAAGGATATCTTTAAGTTAAACACTACATAAAGATTTGGCATCTTTTTCCAACTTAAATTACTTGAACTGGTATGCTCCAAAACATAACCATTCTTGGTAGTGGGAAAATAATGCACATATAACTTAATATCCTCCAGACCTTACTAGTAGCTCAAGGAACTGGCAGAGTTTAGGTATTTCTCGTATCTTTCTGAATCTACTTTTGCAGCATATGAATAATTAAGAAGCATTAAATGTTAAATACAGTATAATATACAGGATTCTACTATTGGCACATATATGCTGTATACATTGCAATCTGGTCTTCTGATGGACTCAACAACTCTTAAAATGCCCTTTAATGAACAAAATCCAAACAAGCAAACAAAGGCAATGGTGGGTAGATAGCTAGAAACTAGATGAGCTATTCAGAACTAGTTGTTTGGGAAATAATGGTTATAGATAAAATTTAGTGTACCTTCAGGAGAACAAGGGATAATTGAGCTATGGGAAAGGTCAATCCTGAAGCAAGAAGTGGAAGGGATCAAAGTTGAGTCATGAAAAAAATCTTGCCTCTACCCAAACCCTGAAAATGAGATTGAGGCCAGGATACCCTGGGCAATTAAGAGAAGATGACAAAAGGTCACAGGTAATCTACAATGTGCTCTTTTTCCCTATATACAAAGCAGAGCAGACTACAGTACATTCCCAAAACTGCCTGCACAGAAAACTAGAAAGTTGTCTATAATTTTTCTATTTACATTACTTTTATAAACAGATTTTGAGGTTGACTGTACTGTATGTGGCTGCTGTACTGACAGCAAGAAATGTAAAGTGCCCATGAGAGAGATAATACAGTCCCATTTCTAGGCATCTTAATACTATACCCTAAAGACAAAGGAACAAGAACATCTCAAGGACTTCACACCTTTCCTCAAGCTCTCTGCACTTCTCTGTGACTCTGTATCTACCTACCAGGCACTTCTTAAAAGGCCAGAAATTCTTTTGTTCTCTATTTCGTGTCATACTTCTAAAGTCACTTTCTCCACCTGCATTAAATATGCCAACCAACAGTGCTAAAGCACTTTTTTTACTCTTAAGGCAAAATATCATATAAGGAAATGAATGCCCACTCCCCACTGCTCTACCCCACTTGCCTTCACTGTATTCTTTGCCCATTGTGAGGGCCACGATGTGCTAGAAAGATAAAGAAAACTGAAAATTTCAAACAAGAACCTTTAATATAATGTGAAAGATATACTTTATAAATGCTATTATGACAAAATTAAGTATATCTTAATGCTTTAGCATATGCTCATTTTTAATTTCTACCAACATATCAAAAGAAGTTATGACTCTCAAAATTAGTATCAAAACAGGTATTTAAATCTTGCTACATGTATAGAGATACAAATCTTCGTTCTTTCCAAAACTGAGCATAAATAACCCCAAATAACATTAAAAACCCAAGAGAATTATTCTTTGCTTATTTCCACTTAAACTACATATAAATTGCCAGAATGACTGTTCATGAGGCTCTCCATCTTATTTGGAAAAATACTGTTAAAATGATTTTGATATTTTCATAGAAGAAATGATATCTTTTTTTCACAGTTGCAATTTTGGTTTTACATACAAGCACACAGGTACTGTTTTATTTCTGATGCTCAGTCTAGAAGGGTAGAAAATAAAAAAATCATGTTTTGTTAATGTCGTGTAAGATACCAAGCATTCTCATGATATCATGTCAGTAGTCAATTACACTAAACCACCTCTAACAATGTAGTGTATGCTTTCTTTACACATCCAATTAAAATACTTTTCCAACACTTTGATGACAAGTGAATGTATCTGTATTGTATTGACAGGACAGCAATCCAAGGATAAGTACATGATTACTCAAATTAAAAAATAAAAAGGACAAAGAGTGTAGATTTTGGGACTCTATTAAAGGATATTTGTTTCTGATGAAACTGCAAAATAGAATTGGGTTTTTAAGGGAATTTTTAATATACAACAAGTAATTCCAAAAGTATGAGTACATATGGACAAAGCTTAGTAATTTAGGATTCACTTTTGTAAAAGCATGACAAATATTAAATGTTATATTTGCATTTT